GAGGTTCAATCCTGGGGCCACAAGAAAGCGTCTCCTGCCATACCCCATTAAAAATGTTCCGATCATGTATTTGAACCAAGCCATATCCCCTTCAAAAAGCAGATGAAACAGAAATAGCCACTTTGCTGTCTACATTAATGGGTTGATAAGATCAGCAACAGTTCGCTTACGTTAGCTTGAAGAAGACTGGAAAATTACTATAAACACTTATTAGTGTGTGTTTTTCCTATCCATAAACAAAATCCGGAACAGCTCATCCTGAAAGGCAGCCCCTGGCGGTGCTTCTCCAGGGAAAATCAGAATGCAAGTCTGTTTGTCTGATGATGCCTCTCATGCAGTGAGGGCAGGGGGCTAATGAGACAGGGGGTGGGGGCAATCCTTCATGGCTCTCTTCCTGCTCTGCCTTGGCCTGGCATCTCACAGAGGGCATGGTTTACTCACAGGGGCACTAAACAAGAGCACATGAAAGGATCGGAACTAATCTGCCCCTTGCAGACAGACATCTAGGAAAGGGTGTGTTGTCAGGTAGCCTCAGGTTGAATCTGACTCATGGGGACCCCCATGGCACTGTGACCAAAAGCTTGTGATCCATAGCGTTTTCATGGGCTGGCTTTTCTGAAGTTGATCACCAGGCCTTTCTTCCCAGTCTATGTGAGTCTCCACCGAAACCTTTTTAGCATCATTGTCATGTGCGAGCCTCCACTGACAGATGGGTCATAGCTCTTCTGAGGTGCAGTGGCCAGGAATCAAACCTGGTCTATTACAGGGAAAGCAAGAATTCTACCACTGAACCACTGCTGCCCACAAGATAGAGAATACTTCTGTGGAGAACAGGAGGAGGCTAGAGATGCTCTGAAGTTTGAAAGACTTTGTAAAATATGTTTGTATAAGTAGTATGTTTTAATACTGCCTGATATCCAGGTTCTTTCGGGTCAAGGGTGCCATGAATTATACTCAGGTATAGCCAAACATGTCATAAAATCTCATCATCTAGGAAAGGAATAGGTCACTGGGACAGAATAGATTTGGAAAGAGACGTAACTACAGACAGTATTTAGTACATTGTACAAGTGTACATCAGATGACTAGAAGATGATTTATTCCATAAATAGCATTGAAACATAATTTGGCAAGAAAAAAATTGGATCTTTTGGCGAATAATTTTTTTAAAATCATTTAATTGGGGGCTCTTACAGCTCTTGTGTACATATGTTGCCATCATCATCTTCAAAA